ATAAAAACAGAACTCAATGATCGTTGAATACTGCTCGGGTTATTCAATGGTTCACTCGAGTGTATCCCTGCTGCAGGAATATACTCTCTTGAACCATTGAATAACCCGAGCCGTATTCAATGGTCATGAAGTTCTATCTATATATACGTTATGGGATAATTTGTGTCTGAAAAAGGGGGGTTGGATGGCTGAATGGTTAGCGTGCGCACGCTGTATCATAAAGTCTGTCATTGAGTCAACTGGCGTGGTTTCGATTCCCCGGTTGTACGTGACAAGGAGTAGGGTCGCCTGTCCAACCTTGTGGGTTTTCTCTGGGTCCTCCGGTTTCCTCCCACTGCTAAAGACCCCTACGCGCAGGCGAGTTATTGAAATAAAATTAAACCATATGTTGGTCCCGAAATGACCTGGTTTGTGTCGAGTGGACGTTAAACCCCATTTCTCACTCTCTCTCGTGTCTGAAAAAGCCTGTGACAGCTGCCTTATGTGCAGGCTTGCTTGCATGAATTGAAATTGTTAAAAGTTGTCAATTTCAAATGCAGAGCTTAAAAGTATGGCACACTTATGTTTCTAACCTAGCTATGTTATAGGTTATGTGATAAATAATACTGATTGCATCAAATGTCTTAAATAGAGCTACCAGATTTGACAGCGACAATAAATTTTATTTTTCAAGTGACAGGGATGTGTAGTATGATGACTGTAAACATGATAATTTATTTTACCTGGTTTTTACCTGTAATTCAGGAGACTTGTATTTTTTATTCAACATAGTTTAAATGCATGATCAGGAGTTGCGTCTCTATTATGCAAGATAGGACAAAATGAGGTATCGCATTTTGAAGGGCATTTTTGAAACAAATAAATTACGATTTTAAATTAAAAATGACAATTCGGCATAAAAATTGGCATATTATCAAATATGGATAAATTATTATATTATGAGTTGAAACAATGGTGGATTAAGGTAGATTTGGATGGATTTGAATAAATAGTGCTACCGGCCAAAATGTGCAGAAATATTAAACTGTTTGGAAATGATTGCCAAATCAGTTTATGTAATCAGTCAGAGCATTCAAAATTGTTTGTTATCTGGGGGAGGGGGAGGGGGGGGGGGGTTCTCTAATATAATTACAGAGTTGGCTTTGATTAGGCTCCAGACTAATCTGTAATGGCAGAGACCTCAAATTAACTATGCTCTAATTCTACCTGTTCATAGTCTTAAGAGCCTTTCACATGAAATTTTTATCCTCTGAAATGTATCAGGGATATCTCATTAAGGAGAGGGGATCACGTGGCTAAGTGGGTAAGACGCTAGCTCGCTAGCCTGGAGGTCGGGTGTTCGATCCCTGCATTGGCCGAGAAAGTTCATCCAGATTTTCCGGCGTGGTTCTCCCTTGTCGGTGATGCAGGACGGAGGGGCTGACAAGGAAAGCTGTCTAGTCGTTCGGATGGGACGAAAAACCGAGGTCCCGTGTACACATTGGCGTGCACGTAAAAGATCCCTTGGCAGTTGGAATTCGATATAAGAGTAGGCCGTAGTGCCGCTGTCCGGGCAAAATTTTCCCTCATAGCACACTGTATGGCGTATGCCCGTCTTCATTAGCCCAGGTTAGGAGCAGAACAGTAGGACGTTAAACCCTATTTCATTTCATTTTCATTTCATTTCTCATTAAGGAGGATATAATTAGATTATTAGCATGGATCATTTCATCTCCTGCAGACAAAATATTTTACCAAGTTAGGAGAGACACAATATGATGAACTTCATCAAAACTTTCATTTTTAATTGCAAGAATAAATCATATTATAGTTTACTGCCAGTGTACATATATAGGTTTCGTGTGTTTGTGTTCCACACTCATACTGCAACAAATATTGACAGTGTCATTCAGAAGGTATGAATATTAACGCACACAAAGCTTTCATACTGAATGAAAGAAATATTCTGATTGGTCCAGGTGCATTAATTAACTAGTGTCTGGTATTTCTATAACTGTGGTATAATCAATAACTAACAAAGCAATCAACTGGATGCCGTCTGCTTTGTATGAAGCATATACGAGTACGATATAGATATATACAAATATTATCTTCCTTAATAACCACCGTCTTGTTGACTCTGAAAAGTTGATTAACATGCATTAAATAGCATATCAACAACAGGCCTACATATTTCCAAGATAAGGCCTACGTATATCCACGATTTGACCTTTACGGAAGCAATTGATAGGTAAGATTATTTTATTGATCAGACTTGTAAATCAATAAGCTAGCTTTGATGAAAAATAGTTTGGTTGTCAGCAGATTTTGGTATGATAACACAGCTAGGTTGCTTACTTTCAGTTTGTTCATTTTAATCCCTGCATTTTATAAAACCATCAGTCTGTTTAGTTGGGCCTGCTCATATAACAGGTTAGATATCAAATGTTTGGATATGCATGGCGTGATGTCTAGGTCTGATTTTAATAGCATGTTAATGCATATGTGAAGGTAACCATTGTTTACTTTACAATCTAGGTCATGTAGGCCTATGCATAAATAAAATACTTACCTGGTAAGTAAATCATAAAATTATAATAAATAAGATACAAGTTATTGAAAACAACTTCGTAATTTTGTGCCAACACCTGCTAATGATAATGTCAAAGTGGCTGGTAGCCATAGCACATCATCATGAAATCTGGGGTTCATTATGTCCTTTAATCATATAAACATGAAGCAGGATTTTAGAGGGATTTAAAGGTAATTGTTTAATCAATTTAAGCCAGGTTGGATGGTGGAATGGTTAGTGCGTACACGCTGCATCATAAGGTCTGTCGTTGAGTCAACTGGCGTGGTTTTGATTCCCCAGTCGTACGTGACAAGGAGTAGGGTCGCCTGTCCAACCTCATGGGTTTCCTATGGTTTCCTCCCACTGCTAAAGACCCATTTGCGCAAGCGAATTATTGAAATTAAAATGAACCATATGTTAGTCCTGAAATGACCTAGTTTGTGTCGAGTGGGCATTAAACCCCATCTCCCTCTCCCCCCCCCCCCCGTCTTTATTAGCCCAGCATAGGAGCAGAACAGTATAGGAGTTAAACCCCATTTCATTTCATTTCTCTCTCTCTCTCTCTCTCTCTCTCTCTCATACACTTTGTAGTATTATACAAGAGACATTTTGGTTGGATAGTGGTGTTTCCACTGGCAGTGTTTCATCACATTTAACCAAGCAAGGTTTTTCTTAAATTCATACCAATGAGTACAGGTGGACCTCAGTTTGTGTTCCATTCGGCCATCCCCCCACCCCCACCTGCATCCCCTGCTGGTGCATAAAGCTGGACGTTTAATGAGGTGAGGTTTTGTGGTTTTCAAATAGCTGTCCTAAGGCCTGTTGTGTTGTAAAACATTGCCTTTGTTCACATGCCAATGGGATTACTGATATGCATGGGGTTTATCCTGGTGTAATTCAGGCTTAGATTTATAATAATAATAATAATTTTATTAGCAGTCAACCATAATGAATCATAAACAAATTATGTACAGTTTATTGCTTTGACCTAGCTGTCGATGATATCTGAATATAGCACAATAAAATATCATTAATAGTCATAGTTGAGTGGTTTTCATGGTGACCGGTTCAATAATATCAGTATAATAAATGTGAAGTTGGTATATATACAGGTTGTTGACTTCATGAACATCAGGTAGGACAACACCTTGATGGAGTGGCCTGCCTACAAGGTACAAGATAAATAATAAATATTTTAGGTAAAAACATGAATCTTTATGATATGATCATCAGGGATGTCAGAATTTAATTTAGGATTTTTTTGCTGAGAGAATTTTATTTGAGATGAGATTCTGTGTGGGCTTTGTTAAAGGTGTGCTGTCTACCAATAAACCGTATCTCAAACTACTTAAAGATGACATGCACTTTTGGGAGTGCTCAAGTAAGATCTTATTGTCTGCCCAACCCACTCCGAGTAAATTACAATCCATGATTAGGTTCTCCTCTCTTTTTCATTTTCATTGTCAGAATCACAATAATATTTTTTCTTAGTTAATCCAGGGAAATTTAAATCAAAATATTTTATGGAATATGGATGCATCCTTTTCATTTGTTGAGAGTTCAAAATCTTCATACAAATTATGGTTCTTGGCCAATGAAAGGGGTGCATTTATATAAGAATGTTTCTGGGGTCCTAAGCGCTCAGAACAGTAGGACGTTAAACCCCATTTCATTTCTTATTCATTATCAGTAACGCAGTTTTAAAATAATCAGCATAATCTTGGGGCCTTATTCACAAAAACTTAAACCAAAATAATTTAAGGATACAGCCTTTTCATTGGATCAGAGTTCAAATTCTCATATATTTTTTGCTACAATAAAGAAGGGGTGTGCTGTTAAAAGATTCTCAATCTGATTCAAAATACAGATCTATATTTCGTTTTGTTTTTTTTATATCCAGCTACTACATGAAGATCTCGGCGGTTGTAGTGGAAGGTCGCGTCAGAGTTCATACCAGCGGCTTTTGACCCTATAAATTCAGACATTTGATTAATCAGTCAGTGTTGATGTTTCTAGTAGGTTATCCACAGTTCCGTGCATCTCACGCCAAAAACGTCACATCATCCGAAACGTGGGTTAAATAACAACTCTTTCAGATCCTAGTGTAGTAAAGACAAGTAAACCGAAATTTTAAACTATAAAAAACGAAACGAAATAGGATCTGTATTTTAATCTGATTGAAAGATTTTGTAAATAAGGCGTACGGTTTTTACAGGGGTTTTACAGTTTCCTGCATACTACCGAATCTAGTCTATAACTTGATTTTTGATACGTAATATTATTTTGCACAGACATTTTGTTTCTGTTTCAGGAATGCTGATGAGTTCCAGCGGAATGTCTCAAGCTGCGTCTGAAAGAATTTATATTATCGGTGGCCTTATTTTAATTTTGTTTCTTTTCCTTTGGATTCTAAATCCCTTATTTTTATCTTGTTCTCCATTTTTTGTAGTGTACTTGTACTTTTTTGAGATCAAGATGGATCGAACGTACATCGCAAGTGCTCTTGTCTTCCTCATTGTGCTTCTCTTGTTGTGGATCTTCTGTGTGAAAAGGAGAAGGAGTGGTGGTCTTTTGGCAGGAAAAGCAAAAAAGACATTATCTGGCGTGAAAGAAGATGAGGAATTCCGTTCTGATGTCCAAACGACAGTTTTTAAGAATCTACGACATCGACAGATGCAAGAAGAGCATTATGAAGAAATTAAATCGACAACTACTACTGTAGTTAATCAAGCCGTGTTAACAAGTTCCGCTAATTCGAAAGTATCAAGTGGATTAGATATGTCTATATCGGATAAAAACTTTGATCATGTGGACGCACTTAAGACGGACAGATTATATAAAAATAAACATGTGGAAATATTAGCGGAGAAATTTAAATCTACCGATGAAGTTAGTGAAGCTATGAGAAGAGCAGGTTTAGAACATTGTAATCTTATATTTGGTAAGTTATCGAATGGTATTCTCCTCGAGGGATCACATGGGTAAGATGCTGGCTAGCCTGGAGGTCGGGTGTTCGATCCCTGCATTGGCCGAGAAAGTGCATCCAGATTTTCCGGGATGGTTCTCCCTTGTCAGTGATGCAGGACGGAGGGGCTGACAAGGAAAGCTGTCTAGTCGTTCTGATGGGACGTAAAACCGTGTACATATTGGCGTGCACGTAAAAGATCCCTTGGCAGTTGGAATTTGATATAAGAGTAGGCCGTAGTGCCGCTGTCCTGGCAAAATTTCACTCATAGCACATTTTCGTATTCTTCTCGGAGAAAATTTTGTAAAATCAGTTTCCTCCCGCTGCTAAAGACCCCTACGAGCAAACTATTTATTGAAATAAAATTGAACCATGTGTTAGTCCCAAAATGACCTGGTTTGTGTCGAGTGGAAGTTAAGCCCCCCCCCCCATCCTTATCAGCTACAACCTCACTATACTGCTGTATCACCCCAAACCAACAATAAACTTCAAGTTTACACATTTCATAGACACATTATATGAAATGAAAAAAACTGAAATGGAGTTTAATGTCCTACTGTTCTGCTCTGTCTTGGCTAATGAAGATGGTCATACGCCATACAGGTGCTATGAGGGAAATTTTGCCCGGGCAGTGGCACTATGGCCTACTCAAATTCCAACTGTCAAGGGATCTTTTACATGCATGCCAATGTATACATGGGACCTTGGTTTTTTGTCCTATCCGAATGACTAGACGGCTGTCCTTGTCAGGACCTCCATCCTGCACCACTGACAAGGAGAAACCATGTCAGAAAATCCCAATGAATAGGGATTGAACACGCGACCTTCAGGCTAGTGAGCCAGCATCTTACCCACTTAGACACCGTGGCTCCAGTATATGAAGTGAATTGTTTGTATTGTTATTTAGGGATAGGGGGTCCCACTGACTGATATTTTTTATGTGCCCACATTTCATGTCAGTTAGTCATTGGTTCTTTTTTTTTTTTTCTTTTAAACTTGTTGCGATTCTTCGACTAGTCCTAAAAAGGAACCATATAGAAATTACCAGGTTACTGCTCTTGCAACCAAAGCCTTGTAAACACTAACAAGTTCTTGAGATTATTTTGTCCTCAACCTTGCTGTGATGGTCCGGCTAATCCTATAAGGAGCATCAGTATCAAAACCTTATTTGATAACTTGTTTGAATTGTTCATGGAGTCATACAGAGGTTACGTGCATTTATTGCTTCAAAACTTTGATGAAACTCTCTACTGTTGCTTAGAGGAATCCTATCGAAATTCAGAGTCAACTGGAAATTTTATGCATTAATACCCCCTGACCTGAACACTAAACATCCACCATTGTAAATATGCCAGTGTGTGTATATTATATTGTTATAGTGACCTAAATTAATGTAAAGTGGATTGCATTTTAGGGGTTGACCTTTTGAGACTTTTTAATCCTCTCCTACACTGTTACGTTATTATTTTCTGTATGTAATTTTGTACGCAACCAATAAGTCACATAATTATTAAACATACATTATGCAAGAGCTAAATCTGTCTATTGCAGGTCTTTCTTTAGGCCTTAAATGTTATATAAGAAAATATTAATTAGACATTAATTAACTTGTCCAGTACATAATCAACTCTTGGTGGCATCGCTAGCCTGCGATATTTACTGGATTAGGATCCCATTTGCTGCTCAACTTTCATTCATGATTTAGTCATGAAATGAATAATCAAGGCTATGTTTTTATCGTACCGACTTTAGTAATGATGGTCGAGGCTAGGCCGAAAATTCAATCGCTAAAATCTCTGTTCAGAGTGGATCGATTTGTTTGAAATTTTCAGCAAATTGCCTTTACATTATCAAGTTTTTAACTATTATAGTGAGAACTGCCAGCTCTTTATAATTATCTAATCTCCGATAATAGATATACGCCCCCAATTTCATGTGAATGTATATTGTCGTCGCTCCTTTATGTCCAAGTGTCACAATTTAACCAAACTTAAAATGTAGGTGTCTCTTCCAAAGATCTTGTTTCCTTTTGATATTGGCATGTATCGGACCGTAACTTTATGAATTATGGCCCCTGATTTTACGAAAAATCTTTTTTTTTTAGCTTGTGGAAACTCTAGAGTCACAATTTTCATCTTGTCATGCTATATGTCTATAAACCAGTGATTGTTTTTTATATAAATTGTGTTGTGTTTTTTATTCACCTGTGTAACCATGGATATATTTATTTACCTGTAATGATTGGATTATTTCAGGTGTTGATTATACAGCTAGTAATTATAATCAAGGTAAAAAGACGTTTGGTGGAAAATATCTTCACAAGATCGATCCAGATTGTCTGAATCCTTATCAACTGGTAACAAATATTTACATTAGATATACATTTATCTCATCAGCTTAAACATGCATTATACAAGAGCTAAATTTACCTATATTGCACGTCTTTCTTTAGGCCTGAAATGTTATCTAAATTATCAATTAGACATTAATTAACTTATCCAGACCATAATCAACTCTCGATGTCATCGCTATTCTGCAATATTTACTGGATTAGAATCCTATCTGCTGCACAATGCTCATTGATAATTAAATCAAAAATTGGATAATCAAGACTATGTATTTTAGTAATGATGATTGAGGCTAGGCCAAAAATCAATCGCTAAATTCTCGGTTCAGAATGGATCAATTTGACTATAAAATTTTCACAAATTCCCTTTACATTATCTAGTTATTAACTATTATAGTGAGAACTGCCAGCTCTTTATCTAATCTCACATAATGTATCTTTAATATTTCATTAAAGCCAAATATCTGAAAGGAATATTAGTCCATAAGTGGTTCAGTTATGTTCAGTATTTACAAAGACATGATCAATTAAAAATTTTGCAATATTTGAGCTGAACAGACAATGTAAACTGACTAACACCAATATCTTCGCACACTTTTCGGAATAATCGACTCCGGTGCCTAAGATCGACTCCGGTCCATCTGTGACATCACATGTGCTCCGGTGCCCACCAACACTATATATAGAGGGCCACCGCACATCCTCATTTAAGCCTGAAGAGTTCGAATAAGAACGAAACTAGTAGCTGAGAGCAATCTGGGAAAGCTGTTCGCCTATTTACAGATTTTTTACCACTGACTAACACCACTTAAGAGTTTTATAATAGAGCCAGTTAACAAATACATATATTAAATAGGATTATCCACAGAGAAACAAGTTTTGAAAATTTGCAATATTTTGTGTCCATGAATGAATAAACAACCTACTTTTCTGCCTCAACAAGGCTAAAGAAGATGGACATACATGCATGCCAAGCAGTGTGCTATGGGGGAAAATCCTGGCCCAAAGCAGCAATTGAATTTCAAAATGTCATGGGTTCTTTTACATGCACGCCAAGGTGTATACATTATCTTGGTTTTACCATACCTTCCGAATGACTAGACACTGTTCCTTGCCAGGTCCTCCGTCCTACACCACCAAGGGGAAACCATGAAGGAAAATCCTGTAAAATTTTCTCGTCCAACAATGGGATTGAACCAGGGACCTCTAGGTTAGCGATCCAGTGCCTTACTCACTGAGTCACTGTGGCTCCCATATTTTGTGACCTTAACTATAAACTCTTGTTGTTCACAGGTTATTCAAGTATTGGGTAAGACTCTACATTCATTTGCTAGTGATGGTAGTATACCAGCATTTGGTTTTGGTGATATGAGAACTAAAGATAGATCAATCTTTGCTCTTAATACAAATGTAAGTTTTATTCAAGAAATAGAATGGAATGGAGTGGGTTGGGGTTTTTTAGATGAGAGAGGGAGAGGGATGACAATGGGGTTTAATTCCACTCGATACAAACTAGGTCAGTTTTGGACCAACCTGTGGTATAATTTTATCAATAATTTGCTTGCACTATGAATCTTTAATATTGTGAGAGAGAGGAACACAAACTACCTCAGCCATTTTGGGACTAACATATAATACATCTTTATTTCCATAATCCACGTAAACAGGCCTTTAGCGGTGGGAGGAAAGTGGAGGACCCAGAGAAAACCCCAATAAGCTAGGCTGTCTACCCTTGTGTCATTGACAAACATGACTCAGTGACAGACCTTATCATCTAAAAGTCAATGAGTTTGACTATTCAGTCATTAAGCTCCCTAGATAAGGGAGGGAGAGAGAAATGGGGTTTAACGTCTACTTGACTCAAACTAGGTCATTATTTCAATAATTCGCTTGCACGTAGAGGTCTTTAGCAGTGGGAGGAAACCGAAGGACCCAGAGAAAACCCACAAGGTTGGACAGTCGACCCTACTCCTTGTCACGTACAACCGAGGAATCAAAACCACGTCAGCTGATCATGACTCAATAACAGACCTTAAATGATACACCACGCCAGTTGACTCAAGGACAGGCTAACCATTTGGCCATCCAACCCCACCCCCCTAGATAAGGAAGCTTCTGAATCACTTTTGGGTCTGGCAACAATTCAGTGAAAATTTTGATCCAACAATATATTGTTTGTGATAAGGGAAAGAGGGTTGCTTGAGTTTAATCAGGTTCTCAGATTTCCGGATCTGCCACTAAATGTTAATTCCAGCAAGCTTTTTTAAGTGGACATTTAATGAAATTTCATCATTATCTTCCCTGACTATCTGGTAAGATCTTGAACAAAATTTATAGTGTCGAATCTTTACATGATGGCTAGAAAATGAGCTGAAAACCAGAGTATATAGAGTAGTGAAGTCAGCGCTCGGTGTTTAACATTTAATTTCAGCTTAACAAACTTTCTTTTTTTTTTATAGGGGTTATGTTCTGGATTTGAAGACGTATTAAAGATTTATAATCAGATTACACCAAATGTTCATCCTAGTGGTCCCACAAACTTCGCTCCCTTGATTTATCAGGCCATATCAATTGTCAAGGCAACTAGTGAGGTACGTGACTGTTATTGTCATTCTTCATATTCTTATAATGTATAATTGTTCCATTTTACATTGAAAAAAGTCATCTTAAAAAAAAAAAGTTAGCACTGATTATTATTATTATTATCAGAGGGTCATATATATATTTGCTGCTGCACACATATGTATGCCTTATATATTATATCTAAGTGAAACTAATGATTGAATGATACATGCACAGATTTATTATGCGCATGTTGCACATCAACGAATTGATAGAATCCTGTATTTGATATTATATTAAATTGTACATTAGTCAGTGGTGACTGGTGAAGCTAGTATTTTTGACTCCAAAGGCAAAGTGCCAAAATAATTTTAACAAAAAGAGGTACCTCCATGGAACCTTTGTAGCTTAAAGTCTTATTCTGGAAGTAAATGTTACATTGTGTGGACGTATTTAAAGTTTTTACAGTACATGTAGAATAAATTATGGAAAGGAAGAACTATAATAGGTATAGTCTGTCATCCAGTCCTTTTCTTATGCATAAACTATTGTTTAATGTAAAATGAATTACTGACCATAGGACCAAATGAGCGATTGACTTGCTGTTAACGCGGTTGTTGCATGAATGTCTGCTTTTATTTTATGCTCCTTTCAATATCTGTACAAAACAAAAATATGATGTGGAGACTTTCACATGTATATTATAGAATATAAAATGGCTGATCTTTTGCATTCTGGATTAAGTATATTTCTGCTGTAAAATGTCAATCATGTTAATAGGAAATTTGAACTAAATACATTATATTGAAATTGTCTATATTACAGCCTAAACATAAGGTAGCGTAATATATTTATTTTGGTATATTAAGAGATATGTGGGCTTCTAGAGAACTAATAATGTTTTTATCTTACACTTGTAGTAAGACTGTTGCACCTAATTTATTTAATATGAGCATTTAATGACTATGTTTGAATTTCAGCATATTAATTAAAGCTATAATCTCTTTTAAATTTTCAGCTCATATATTTATATAATATACATTATTTAGTAGTGCTCCGAAAGGATTAATTCCTATGTGGGAGTTTTATGTCGTCCCCCTCTCCGTCAGTCCGTCAACAATTGGCTTGTGAATGCGATAGAGGATACATCTTTCTTATTTGGCTTGAAGCATTAGAGGCATTGATCGCTGTTCATAATCCGCAGCCTCCCTTTCTTTAGTTATCCCCCCTTTGCCTAAATCCTTGTGAATGCAATAGAATCTATAGGTTTGTTTTAACAGATTTTTTTTTCCAAATTGGGTGTGAAGCATTGCGATCTTAAGAGGATGAATCATAGAGATTAGATTTCTTTAAGGATCCTTGATCCTTATCAAATTTTTTAACATCCAAGTTTTCCTTCCAGATAAGCTGCCATGTGGGCGTATTCCACACTTGGCATGACTATCTCATTGATTATAATTTATGTTGGGCTATAAAAAAAAAATCAGTAATTTGAATTTACTGTATCCCCCCTTTGCCTAAATCCTTGTGAATGCGATAGAATCTATATAGGTTTGTTATAACAGTTTGTTTTTTTTCCAAATTTGGTGTGAAGCATTGCGATCTTAAGAGGATGAATCATAGAGATTAGATTTCTTTAAGGATCCTTGATCCTTATCAAATTTTTTAACATCCAAGTTTTCCTTCCAGATAAGCTGCCGTGTGGGCGTATTCCACACTTGGCATGACTATCTCATTAATTATAATTTATGTTGGGCTATAAAAAAAACCCTCAGTAATTTGAATTTACTGTTGTTTTACTATTAAAAAGATGTTCTAGTATTTTGCAGAACAAATTGATATACAAAGTTTAGACTATAGAAAAAACGAATAGAGACGAACAAAATGATATTACGATATAAATCCTTATTTGGTTGTACCAAAATACTATTTCAAAATATTTTTAGTTTTCTTCAAAATATTATTTTGTTATTTCAAATTAATAAAAAAAAGTCTAAAAACATAGGCGTTGGAGCTGGGGTGGAAGATTCGGTGAACTATCCATTTTTCGGGCAAAAACGGTACATCGGAGAAATAAATCCATAGATCATAGAAATATAATTATATAAGGCCGTGTTGAATTGATTCCTTGTTTCTCCTGCCACCACTCTGGCAATCATGTGCGGTAGTGCGGTAAACACAACACAAAGTGGGTTTCAAAACACAAAGTGGTCTGGCATAATACCTATATAGTCTGAGGGTTGTGTACCATTTTTAATAATATTATAAATAATCTAGTTATATTATTGGTTAGAATAAAAACACAGATAATATTTAATTAAATAAATTTAATAACAAACTAAAATTTGGTAACAAGTGGCTTCTTTGTTTAACTTTTTAAAAAATGAAATAACCATATTTTGATATAAATTTTCCGTATTCTTGTGTTAAAATACAATGGAAACATTCCAGTTAGACGATATTTGATTCGCTTGTTGAGTTATAGATGGTTTCGATAATATCATCCAACGTGAAAGTGCTGGGAATAACCACCAAAGTCGAGTCGAGATAAGTAATTTCGCATACCGGTCGGCCTAATTTATTTATTGATGTTCAAGTAAATAATAGTGGTCCCGTTTGGTCGTTCGTTTTTGAATATTTTTTTTGTTTTAAAAACGTAAGCGCACGATTTTCGGGGTCCTCGACCTAAGCGCGCGGGCGAGGAGAAACAAGGAATCAATTCAACACGGCCTAATTGTAAAATAAAATCGCTCGTTGTTTACGTTTTGAATACTATAATAGTTAAGACCTCCAGCTATAGCATTTGTGGAAAACTCGTTTTAGATAATGATTGATTCATTCTGAAAAATGACAAAGAAAATTTTCGGGTGAATAGACTCAGTCCAACCCCCCAACCCCCACCTCACCCCACCCACCACAAACTGAGATTGGCCCCCTATGCCTATGTGTAAAAATGTTACTTACGGGTCTCTGTATAAATATTTATTTTGGAGCACTATGTTTACTAAAGTATAAACATTAATTTAGATAGTATTTCTAGCATTACTAAATAGATATATTATAGCTTTACTAACAATAAAATATTATATAATTACCCATCTATTATTATAAAAGCTTATACCATACACATATAATATACTTCCCTGTGTTACCTCTGTTCTTCCATGGATGTAAAAAAAGAAAGAGGGATAATGGGGTTTAACATCCACTCGACACAAGCTAGGTCATTTCGGGACTAACATATTGTTCAATTATATTTCAATAATTCGCTTGCGCGTAGGGGTCAATAGCAGTGGGAGGAAACTGGAGGACCCGGAGAAAACCCATGAGGTTGGATAGGAGACCCTACTCCTTGTTACGTACAAGTGGGGATTTGAATCCATGCCACTTGACTCAATGACATGCATGCGTTAACCTTTCGGCAGCTGTGGAATGTAATAACACAAGGGTTTCACAATAACCCAGATGTTAGAAATCTCTGGCGACATCTGCGTTGCAGGGAATCACCTATATATTACCACATGGGTGTTAACTTACAAGCAATAATTTAAAAAATGAAAAAAATTCTGAGTGTGCATGGCCTCCCCGCCCCCCCCTTAGTGAATTCGCGCCTTTGCTGGTCAATATACTATTCAAAAAAAGTAGGGGATATTTGATTTTTAAGTGTTATTAAAGTCACCTAATGAAACTGACGAAGAAACAAATGACAAAATGAAATGAAGTTCACATTCATCGATTTATTCCAAATGATCGTTAGACTAAGTAAGGCACAGACTGACCATTATAAGGGTAAAATGATACCCGGGGTCAAACAGCAAAGTTACCACAGCATCACAACCAAGTCAGTAACGGGTAAATCCTCCTCTGTTTGCCAAACAAGCATTGATCCGACGTGGCATACTCCTAATGAGACGTCTAAGGTCATTTTGGTCCAGATTGTCCCATTCCTGTTGCAACGCAGCAGCAAGTTCTTGGACATTGGCAGGACGTTGTTGACGTTGACGTAACCTCTGTCCAAGCATGTCCCAGACATGCTCGATGGGGGAGAGGTCGGGACTCAGTGCTGGCCAAGGTAATGTGGTGATGTTCTGTTGTTGGAGGTAACCTGTAACGATTCTGGCCCTGTGACATCTTGCGTTGTCATCCTGGAAGATGAAACGGCGGCCATGACGTCGTGCGAACGGCACAACATGGACTGCCAAGATGTTGTCCCGGTAGTACTGGCCTGTAACACGCCCTGCAACAACATGTAAAGCCGTTCTTCCAGCAACAGTGATGCCTCCCCACACCTTAACAGAACCACCCCCAAATCGATCATGTCTGATGACGTTAACGTCTTGGAAGCGCTCGTTTCGACGACGCCACACCCTCCTACGTCTGTCCAAAAAATCAACAGTGAACCTTGACTCATCTGAAAACATCACATTGCTCCAGTGTCGATTATCCCAGTGTTGACGATCCCTACACCAACGACGTCTTGCTATACTTATAAACCAGTGATTGTATTTCCATATAAACGTGTTGTGTTTTTTAATTAAACTGATGTTTCCACCCTGGAATTCAATGCCACAATGACTGTAACATTCAAAGTCAGAGTCGTGCAAATCTTGGGTTGGACCCCCATGATGATCCCAAGCATCACCTGCATTCCATGCGGTAGCTATTGGTGCGTTTGGGCGTCACATGTAACTGGAAATGTTTCTTCTGTTAGGTTCTATAGTGACTTTTTTCGTAGTCATTTGCATATTTTAGTATTATGCCCCCAAAATCAAATATCCCCTACTTTTTTTGAATAGTATATATCGTTCTATAGGCGCTCATTTACGTCATGCCCTTCGGGTGCTTCATGCTCATTGGCTGTGGCACTGCAAGAGGAGTGGATCAGATTGCCACAAAATGTGATTGGACGGTTGATTAGGAGCATGCCACACCGAATTGCTGAATGTCTGAAGATTGGTGGAGCAATTATTCATTATTAAGACAAAAATCAAAAACGTCCATTTTCACTTTTGTCAGTGTATCTCTTTGCGGGTGAAATGAACTGTTTATGTTCATGTATAGGCAATTGGTCTGTTATTAACATACACTGGTTACCTCTAATAAAAACAGCAGTGCATTTCCGCAATTTTGTATTGTTTCTGAATATCCCAGGGGTTTGACCGTAACGCTATTAGTATGATATTGATATTCCTTTATAGAGAACTGTGTTAAAATGAAATGGGTTCTGCACGAACCAGGCTAATGAAGACAGGCATACACCATACAGTATGCTATGAGTGCATTTTGTAGCCTGAGCATCACTATTTTCCCCTCTAATTGAATTTCATTTTCAAAGGTTCTCGATTTTTAGGCCAATCTGAATGACTAAACGCTGTTCCTTTTCGGGCCCTTTGTCCTTTACCACTGACAAGGGGAATACAATGAGAAAAATCCCTATGATCTTTCTCTGTCAGCAGGCTGTGTTATAGAGACGTCCTAGTGTATTGTAGGCTGGTCAGCAGGCTGTGTTATAGAGACGCCCTATTGTATATGATGCATCTGAAAAAATATTTTGTCTACCAACTGCTAGGATAAGATTGTTTATCCAAAATTCAAAATAGAAATTAATATTCTAAATTGAAAATAAGGATGATGAATCTAAAAATAAGATAGATTGTTTATCCAAAATTCAAAATAGAAATTAATATTCTAAATTGAAAATAAGGATGATGAATCTAAAAATAAGAAATAGTTCGCCTTTGAGATTCTGTATGTGTATAATCCTTTATTATGTTTTAATGTCTTGGACTAATTTATGTTTTTCATTTCTATTTTTAGTATCACATTCTGGTTATTGTGGCTGATGGTCAGGTGACCAGTGAACAAGCTACGATTCAAGCCATCGTCGACGCCTCAAACTATCCTCTCTCTATTATAATGGTTGGAGTAGGAGATGGACCATGGGATACAATGGACGAGTACGATCACAAACTTCCTGCCAGAAAATTTGACAACTTTGAGTTTGTCGACTATCATAAAGTTACATCAAACACCTTAACACCGGATGCTGCCTTCGCTCTTCACGCTCTAAAGGAAATTCCTGATCAATATAGAGAAATAAAAGATCTTGGATATTTATCAAATTAAATTATACGATGTTATACTTTTTGGTTTTTTCATATCGTCGGCCTCAATCTAATGATATGGACGTCCAAGCCTGGAAATAAGACACCTGTCACAGTCATTGTCAGGTACAATCCACCCGATGCCTTTCTTTTTAGCCTGGCACAGATTGTCTTTTTTCCGTGTGTTTTTTTTATATTATTGATATCTTCAGTAGCACCTGACATTTTGTCAGGTACATCTAAAATGGTTATATCCAGCCCTGTACAGGTCTGTATTTTTCAAATAAAAACCTTAATGCTTTGTGACATTAATGCAATCTACCGTAGGTTATTCTCTTTTTCTTATTTAATTAATCTACTTGTTTTAGTGTTTTGATGGTGGTTTAGTAGTAGTAGATTATAGCTGATGCGCTAGCCTTCGACCTGATCAAAAATTGAAACAGCCAAGATACTTTAAGATATAACCAAAACTGCCAAGTCAAGTGCTAATACATTCTTTGGGTAATCATCAGAAGTCTACAGGTTTAATCGAAGTTATAAAATGGTTATTTTTTTAATCAATGGGGAACTTTAGGGTACTGTCAGTACATGCTAGAAAAAATATTTGGAGTACTGATAACTAGAGAATTTGACCAATTAAATTGAATTTTGATGAATGGGGGGATAACAGCTCACTATATATGTTTACCGATTTTAATAAGGTTTTTGGTATCTTTAGATGAAATCTTTTAAATTTCTATTGAACAGCTAAAAATTCAAGCTGTTTTTCTAATCCTTAGGAATGGTCTCTCTTTAAAAATTCGTCCAAAAATAGTGTGAAGATGTAAATGTGAATATGCTGCATTACATCAGATCTCTGTTAAAACTGACAAAATTATATTTTACACCAAGAATATATTTCTATATGTATAATGTATAAATGGTTATTATTTTAATCAATAGTGAACTTTAGGGTATTGTGCTAGAAAAAATATTTGGAGCACCGATTGTTAGAGCATTTAACCACTTAAATTGAATTTTGATTAATGGGGGATAACTGTATGTTTATCAATTGTAGTACAGTTTTTGGAACATAAACTTTTTAGATGGAATCTTTTGAATTTCTTTTCATTTTGCTAAGAATTCAAACTGTTTTTCTAATCCTTTGCGATGGTCTCTCTTTAAGAATTCGTCCAAAAACAGGTTGAAGATCTCTGTTAAAACTGACAAAATTATATTTTACACCAAGAATATATTTCTATAAAGTTATGTATAATGTATAAATTTATAATGATGTACATTTTTAGTCTCAAATTATATATTTTGGGAAATCTGTTTCATTTATTTACATGCCGATATAATTATATATGACAAGCTTACCTGTTGAACAAGGAACTGATTCTATACCCAGGGTTAATCTGGTGGTTGTTGTGGCGACCCCTGCCTAATATTTTGAGAAAGATCAACTTGGAACTTGGATTGCTTGTTCTTTTGACAAATGCGCATTGATCCACAAACTTCGATTTTTAAGGTGGCGTCACAATTCCAAGGTGGCTGCGATACGGTTCCTGGTTCATATGAAGGCTTGTATTTGTTTACTTTTACTTTATTAGGGAATAGATCTATTTGTATACATGTAATAGTCATATAGTGTGTCTAAATAGATATGTGGGTCATAAAAATGTTAATGTTTTAAAGATGCATTATATAAGAGCTAAATCTGACTATTGCAGATCTTTCTTTTGGTTTCCAATGTTTTATAAACTACTATTTAGACATTTATTCACATGACAAGGGTGTAATCAATTCACTGGACCATCGGATGACTGAGATTTAAATGGATTGAAACACCCGGGACATTTAAAATTTAACAATGAAATGGATAATCAAGACTTAGCCTTGATTGTTAAGTTAAGTACCGTTGCTACAATACTAAGCAATCTATGCTACATCTTTAGTCATAACTTTTCCTAGAATAAAGTAATTTGAATGAAATTTTCAATATATTCAGTTTTCATTATCATTATAGCAACAACGGTCAGCTCTTTATCTGAATCTTACATACTGCATCTTTAACTGTTAGCGCTGTTATATTATATAGAATTATTTAAGCTTTATTTTCAAATCATATATCATGTGTAATGAACAAAAAGCATTGTAATAATTCCTTTATTGATATTCATTGGTTGTATAAATTATTATTATCATACATAATATTTTTTATATTGGATGTAGGTATATTTGCTTTTAAAATATTAATGTTTTTGCCATTTTTTATTTGTTAAAATCAATTTAGATTTGTTGTAATTTTTTTCAATTTTTTAAAATTATGTACATTCCGGAAAAAGTTGGGAAAGAAACATTTAACACAGAAAAACATTCTTCTGAAATCAAGTTAGTCTCATTAAAACTCATCCTCGGTATCCCCAGTGTTCTCATTCCGTTCTATTCCACTATACTTGAAAATGTGTCGCCCCCCCCCAGTGGTTAGTAGGTAGACTGGAATGAAACCACTATGTATACTGAGGATGATTAAAACTCTACATTATTATGGTTTTTTTTATAATCTGTCTTCATTAGCTGAGATGAAGCCGAGAAGTACCGTAGAATGTTAATGCAGCTTGTCACCAGGTCTACTCAGTATTCTCGGAAATACTGTTGAGTGTCTCTTAAAGGCGTATGAAACAGTGATTACTTCATTAAATATTTGGTGTCATTAACTTAAAACTCATCTACAATCACTCTGAAAACTGTCCATGGATCAAATATTTAACGTCATTCACTCAAGCAGATGAAATAAACTTCTTTGGCAGTTTATACACCAAAGTTAACAGCGATACTTTCATATTTAAAAAAAAAAAAAACTTTATTTTAATTTCACTCTTTGATTGGATGCCACCATTTACCCTCTCCCCGCACCCACTGTATTCACCAGAGCTTTTGATCCATTATGATTGTATTTCTATATTTCTACACTTGTTATATTTTTATTAGATTTTTTTTTTTTTTGTAATTAAGATCTGTATTACTGATGTAGACTTTTATTAACTTTTACATGATACCACATAATATTTTTCACTTTCCACTTATTTTTGTTAATGGTGTATAGTGACAATACCATTATGGAAATAAAATGTTCTTTAATAGAATTTGTTAGTCTTTATATTTTTTAAGTGCGGGGGTGGGGGGTTGGGGGTGTGTGTGTGAAATGAAATGAAATGGGAGTCTTACTGTCTAGTCTCTACTTACTGCCCTGCCCAAGCCAGGCTATATTTTTGGGAAGTATGGGTGTGGGGGTGCTATGGAGATAAATGTTAAGTGAGAGAGAGAGAGTTAAATTGGGTTTAACATCCACTCGACACAAACTAGGTCATTTCGGGATTTACATATGGTTCAATTTTATTTTTAGCAGTGGGAGAAATCCGGAGGGTGGACAGGCGACCCTACTCCTTGTCACGTACAACTGGGGAATCGAAACCACGCCAGTTGACTCAATAACAGACCTCATGATACAGCGCGCAGTGCTAACCATTCGGCCATTCAACCCCCCTAAATATTAGGTGAAATGGGGTTTTATGTCTAACTGTCCTGCTCAGGATAGACTATAATAATGAAGGCAGGAATACACATGCTGTCTGCTATGAGGTACATTTTGTCTGAACATCAGTGTTTCTGCATACTCTGCTTTAAATTCCATCTACTCTTAGGACAGTGTGTAACTGACAAGACACGGGAATTCCATTAAATGCAGATAGTAAAAACCTCATTCACGCATCCATCTCAACTAAAGTAGATTATCACAATGGTTTACTATAGGCTTACCAGACCATTAGATTAACAAACTACAACATGTTCAAAATTCAGCAGCTCGACTCGAACTAAAACTAGAAAACATCAATATATCTCCCGTGTATTGCAATCCCTACACTGAATCCCAATTCAGCAAAGAATTAAGTCCAAGTAAATCCTATTCGTCTTCAAAGCTCGATCTTATATAAAAAGTCTTGTAGAACCCTTTACTGTAACAGTGACTGAACAGCGCCTTAGAAAATGTTCTTCAGTATATATAACACTATGGTTCCGGCTGGTGAATCATCAACAGAATTCAAATTAATCCATTTGAGAAAAAATAAGCTTATCAATTTAGAAGAATCCATGAGAGAAAAATAAGCTTATCAATTTAAAAGAAATCATGGGCCAACTACATTTATTCCCAAAATAAGATTTAATAAAAAAAAGTCTATAGAATTCTATAGTACCCATTCTTACAGAAAACTATAGTGGCCCAATTTCCAAACTACAGAATACTACAGTATTCATTCCTATACATAATTGTACAATTTCCTACAGAAAGTGCAATATAAAAACCTATAGAATACTATAGTATTTTCCTATAGAAATTTTGCCATAAATCTGTAGGATAAACTATAGGATGTGCGCTACAGAAATTATAGAATATTTGGGGCCGTTATTTCCTACAGGCCCCCAAAATTCTGTAGAATACTATAGAATTTTATCCTATAGAAAATGGGACACGCCCCCCAAAAAACTCTATAGATTTTCTATAGAATTCTACACTGGTATTCTGTAGGACTTTTTGCTAAGGGTAATGACGATATTATTATTATTGTTATATTAATACCACTGGACTGGCCGCGTAAACTGTAGTATGCTCGTCTAACCCATTTGATGCAGAAAAACGGGATGTTAAAGCCAACTTCATTTACGAACTGTTGGAAATCGTCTCCTCTAAATGCAACGTATTTCAAAAGTTTGAACAGGACAGACATCAACTCTCAACTAAACACAAGTTAGAACCGACTCAGCTTTATCAACAAACATCAGACAAAACAAACTATGCAGTAACACGTAATAGGCAGTGCCATTAAAAAAAATATTGACAGTAATCGCACACAATTGTATAAAATTTTAAAAAGACGTAATAGGGGGGGGGGGGGCTATACTGACCATAAAAAGGCAACGTGAAGTTGGCACGTTATTCGGGATTCGGGATTCGCGAATCCCGAATACAGTGCTGGCTCGTTATTCGGGATTCGCCAATAACGAATAACGAGCCAGCACGTTATTCGGGATTCGCCACTAAAAGAAAACGATATATCTTGCATCCGACCATTTCCTCATTGGGTGACCAATTAGCACGGAGACGACCGTTTCTCAAGCGCGTAGGGTGTTGACTGGTTTGTTAGAGTGCACTGGGCAGTCATCTCCAGCACTCACCTGTTTTATTGTCGAATCCCGAATAACGAATAACGTGCTGGCTCGTTATTCGCGAATAACGAATAACGAGCCAGCTCGGTATCCCGAATAACGTGCCAACTTCACGTTGCCCCATAAAGAACATCTGTGATCCAGTTGGATTATGAAATAAAAAATTACATAAGGGTGATAATTACAGACTTTACAGTTAAAACGACCCATAGATAAACAAAACCATATGATATCTATCTTTCGAATGTCACAAATAATGTCAGTTTAAGTGTTTCGTTTTTATTGCAACCGAAGTATATTGCAGAATTAATTATATATCGGTGCTGTACTGCTGTTAACTGCTAGTTAAATATATTCTAGCTGTGTTCTGTACATAACAGTGGTCGGATAATTGAATAATTATATGTTCATAATTGTTCACTAGTCCTATAAATATTTCTGTCTGTTCTATTGATGATACGCAGATCTTAAACAGTAGTTGGTGATCATGGAAGTTTTACCGTTAGTTCTTGTACTCTATTTCATCGGACTTGTATCCAGTAAGTATTATTAACATTTTTAATCTACTGTACAAGTCACACCAAATACTTTAGAAAGAAGATTATGTCAAACATGCATGCAAGAGCTAAATCTGCCTATTGCAGGTATTTCTTTAGGCCCGAAATCTTATATAAATTAATAATTAGACATTAATTAACATACCAATACCATAATCCACTCTCCATGCCATCGGATTGCTCCGAGTGGAGTGATTTGACTGAAATTTTCAGCATATTCATTTTTCATGTTGGCCGACTAAAAGTTTTCGACCACGAACTGGACCCCAGCCGCTGCTCATCTTGTTGTTCTTATGGCAATGCTCTTCGAAAATGAAAGCCTAAGGCTTGCGCATCGATCGCCGAACTTCGGTATGACGTCACCACTATAGACTCTTTTTTTTTCGCGAAACGAAAGCAAACACCGTCGGTATGACATGTAAATTTTTGTGATCATGTTAGGCGGTTTGTTGGTGAATTATAACCGACACTATTATATGGTGGCAAACTCGCTGCAATCCCTAGTTCCTGGATTTTCCAGGTAGGTATATCCTTGGTGCATAAGGCAGGGCTTGGCAATGAGCAGCGTCTAGTAATTCTTTTCTGTGCTGCATGATGGAGGGCCTGTCAAGGACAACGCGATTAATCTATCGGGTGGGACGAGAAACCGAAGTCTATGGATGTTCTCGTTGGAGCACATAAAAAGAAATTTTAACAATTGGAATTCGATGAAGACAAGTCAAAAACGTAAGATTTCCTCCATAGCTATTGTATGGCGTATAGTATGGCGTCAAACTCGATTCCATGTCATCGATGACCGTAACAATTTGTACTTTTAGTGTGACACTATGGGGACAGATGTGACTATTCTGGTCACGGACTCCAAATAAAAACGACCGTGACACTACAGGTAGGGTTACGTCGTGACTATCCTTCGTCAGGGCACTATATATTAGATGTGACACTATCCTCTTTCTCGGCAACAACAAGGGATTAGCTGTGACACTATCGAAGAGGACTTTATTTGACTTCACGTTGTGGGATCAATTATTTCAATCATCAATTAACTGACTCTGGAACACCGTTTATGTTGTTACAAGGTTAAATGCAGGAAAACAACAATATCTATTATAGATACTTTAGGAGTTATTAAAGTATCCCACGGTCTGGGGTTAACATCCTTATAACTCGGTTTAAACATCAGATTTTGTCTCTATCCCAGCTTCTCAGCCGAGGCGGCTGTGGGTAAGAGGTTCCCCTAGGAACTCACGGATTATGTCTTCTCTACGGTCTCATCATGATGTCTGAAGTGAAATAAATCTAGCTCTCTCCTATATAGAAAGCATAATACGTCAGTTATTAGGGCGGGAAACTTACCGTTTTTGGGTTAGTGTTTTGCATGGGCACCCAATCTGATTAAAATACAGATCTATATTTCGTTTTTTATACTTTCGATGGCCTACACTACATGAAGATCTGACCGATTGTAGAGATAGATCGTGGCCTAGGTCACACGAGCGGCTTTTGACCCTATGACGCCAGACATTTGATTAACATTGATGTTTCTAGTGGATTACCCACAGTTCCGTGTAAAACACACCTAAAGCTCGCCGTAGCAGACAGTTTTGTTGGCCAATCCCTCACATCACCCAGAACACGTCAATGATAACAACTCTTCCAGATCCTAGTGTAGTAAAGACAAGTAAAACGAAATTTTGAACTATAAAAACGATTTAATTATTTAATTTGACTAATCTGTGCACGAGATACCTGGAAGGTAGTAACCCCCTTCCAGAAATGGATACTGGCATAACTGTCGGTGAGTTAGTCTAAAACAGTAGTAGTATAATGCAAGCTACTTCATTACACATCATGTAGATAAAGAATTTTATATTAAACAAAACACCCCTTTTTAAAACAAAATGGTGTGTACGACAAAATGACCTAATGAATCTAAGTTAACATTTTTATGTCAAGAAACAAAAATGTTCGAGTCTCAAGGAAACCTATAAAATTGAGAGATAAACCACGATCTGATGTATGACCATTTACATAAATGGTCTCCGTTTGACCCCTCTTCCTTTATTTGCCACATTTAGCTGAAAGCAAAAGTTATCTTGTGTATTTTCAACAGATTCGATATTATAAATGTCAACATTTAGACTTTATGAAAGTGTTCAACTGGAATGGACCTTTAAGGTTAAACTATGCTTTAACTAAACCTTTTTCTCTATTACAGGTGCAAGTATACCAAGCCATGATACGAGATCATTGCGGCCAGGTATTGTTATTCATTGTTTTATCTATCTTGGTAAACATCCCACAATTTACGCACTCACCCCAAATTGACACTCTTGTAACAGATAATTGAAGGGAGGGTCATTCGGTCCGCAATCAAGCCTGGGGTCACGGTGGTTAAGTGGGTATGACGCTGGCTCGCTAGCCTGGAGGTCAGATGTTCGATCCCTGCATTGGCCGAGAAAGTTCATCCAGATTTCACGGCGTATTACCCCCTTAGACCAGGAGCCCAGCCTAGCTGAAAAGCGTACCAATTTTCACCTATATGGTATCAAAGCATGCATATTTGGTATCATCAGAATCTGGTAGTGGGTGTGGCTGTGAGGACTGAGATTCTGGGCATGACTTATTGGGCTAGATTAGCTCAAAAATGTACCACATGAAAATGGTGCAGCAGTGTACCTTACAACTTCAAGTATTACAAAAACATCCCGACAGACATTTCTAGTGGTGGTGTACACCCGACAGAGTTATGTAATTGCCACACTACAGCTAGGCTAGATTAGCTATATCTCTACCACTTAAAACTGCTTGGAAGTTGTTCAGCACCACCACAGGAATCAAGAATGATCACTACTAGACAGTTTGTGTGGTGGGTTACCCCTAACAGACACACCCAATATGCCACGCCCCACAGTTCGTACCGCCTAAAACTGCTTGGAAGTCGTTGATCACTGCCAGATAGTTTGTGTGGTGGGTTACCTATAACATACACGCCAGAAATGCCACGCCCCTAACCAGGCTAGTCTAGCTGAAGCCCGTACTACCTAAAACTGCTTGGACGTTGTTCAGCACTACCACATCAGTCAAGAATGGCCACTGCCAGACAGTTTGTGTGATGGGTTACCCTTGACAGACACGCCCAAATCCCCCCCCCCCCCAACTAGGCTAGATTAGCACGATCTACAATTGCTTGGACGTTGTTCGGCAAACTGCTGGGATCATGGATTACCACTGCCAGACCGTTTGTGCGGTGGGGTACCCTTGACAGACAGTCCAAAATGCCACACCCCGCAACTAGGCTTTATTAGCTGAAGTCGGTACCACCTAAAACTGATTGGAGGTTATTCAGCGCCACCACAGGAATCAAGAATGACCACTACAAGACAGTATGTTCTGTGGTGTACCCCGCAACAACACTACACAAGCTGAAGGATGATGCCACCCTGGGGGAAATTTTAATATTCAAGATGGCTGTCATGAGACATTTTCTGCCCATTTAGTTTAATTTAATACGGTAAAATTCGGGACAGATTCCCTCGAACCTTGGTATGAAGATAGTTTCTATAAGAATTTGACCCACTGAATCCGGTGAGCTTGTGTGTTCCCTCTAAAAGTGACTGCTGATTCCACTAGCAGTGGGGGTTCATTTTTATACGCCCACATTTTCATATTGTCGTCGCTCCTGTCCGTTCATCCACAATTTGTTTGTGGACACTCTACAGGTCACCATTCCTTTTACATCAAAAGGTAATTGATTCGTCAGGAAATATGATTAATGCGGATATAATAGGTTTTACGGTTGGCAAAATGCTCAATATTTAACAAGTGTTACTCGTCCACAAAATACACCAGAATGCGCCAAAAATACGGGAATATGTCTTTTCATAACTTTCTGGGGGATTGTTGCCGTATATACCGGACCCGGCGCCTTTTATCTTAATTCCTCTAAAGTGATATCGCGGACGTTATATCATCAGCTACTAAGGACTTCTTCTCGATGCAAGCCCATGATATTCCAGAAGTCTCATTCGCGCGCCAACTAGTCTCGTTCACCCACAACCTCCTGGTCTTCTACATACAGATATTGGTCTGAATGATTGAGACTACGCCCAACCCTGACCCCTTCCCATAGCTCTTTCCTCCCAGAGACATGTGATATCTGAATGTTTTTTGTTGATTTAGTTTAATGTGGTCTATATATTATATTTTAGGACCAAGCAGATCCAATCAGTGTTCCTTTAAAGGGGAGCTGTACGATATCGACGAGCTTTTTAAACTTGATTGTGATGCTTGTGGAAATTGCGCAAATTGTCAATGTTGGAGAAATGATCAGAATAATCCAATTGTAACGTGTTTCTCAAACTTTGTGGGCTGTATCACATTAGAATAAAAGTGTTACATTGAAATGCTGTGTTATGTTGGGGTCAATTCTAAAGCTGTGTCCATAAAGCACGGTAATGAATTTAATTTAATAATAAGTGCAGGAGGACCGGCCAAAGCATCAACCAATCAGATTGCTTATCTCGGCTTACCCTAAACAGAAAATACCCATCGTCGAATAAACCTAATAAACGCCTACACCAAGTTTGAACATTCTAGCTCAATTAAAAAGAGAGTTATTGTGGCCAAAAAAGTGTGACGGACAGACAGACAGACGAACCCATTTTAATAGTCCCCTGCTTTCTTCGAAAGGCGGGGGACAAATATTGAAAATTTCAGTCAAATCAGTTTATGCTGAACGGAGTTGTCACTGTTGGAAGTTTGGACTAGAAATAGGCATCAACTGTCTCCGCGCCGTCTCCGAGAATTGCCGATCGCTTGATTGACAGACGATAACTCCACCCACATATTCTCGAGCTTTTCATGTAAATAAAGGTCTAATTAATAATTTCTATAACATCTGAAGCCTAAAAAAAGACTTGCAATAAGCAGATTTAGCTCTAAACTAATGTATCTGTTAGAATTTTTTTTTAAAAAATGGAGTGGTGCAGAGTTGGTTGAAACCGGTTGAAATTTCAAGAAGTTGTGAAGGCCACCCGCATGCAATAAATGATCATTGGCCTATAGGAGGTAAACGGCAACCCGTTTATACCGTTCAAAATATATGACCTCCTTCACGGGGATACAGAAGCCAAAGCACCTTAACACTGGGTACACCCATGTTCCTGAAGCAACGATCGCGAGTTTTACAACATCTAACCGTTGCTTCAGTACTGGGCAATTCCCGAGATTTTGCGCTCGTTGTGTTTACACGTAATCAATTAGCATTGTCCAATCAGGGGTCGTCGCACATAGCACACTGTACACAAATATGGCGGCCTCCATATGGTATGATTTCCAGCAACCTTGACATTGATCGAACCTTGAACTTTGCAACTCGATTGTCACATGTAGACATTTTAGCTATAAGCGCGAGACTTGATAATCGTAACGATATTTTTAACGAAGAATTTGATAGGATCACAAGCTGGGCTTATACCATGGAGGTGTATATATTGACTAGAGTGTATGGTGGTCACGTGATCGCGTGCCGACTATGGAGGTCGGCAGCCATTTTACAACCGGGAAGATTTAGCCTACGTTGATCAACATGCCGGAGAGTTGTTGTTGTTTTGGTTAATTCAATGTCAGGCGAAAAGGGAGTGGTTTATCATTTTATAAGTACGTAAGATATATTATAAGTCAAATAGTGATCTAATAGATATAGTATAATCATGATAATATTGTGTAAAATAATTTAATAAACACGGCGAGAAGACGTCGAACACTGGAAGTTTGAGTCCGGAACCGGGCGGGTCTATATTATTAGTACCGATACTTTTATTATGTAATAATTACAAGGTCCGTGCGTTTAGCAAACTTCCAAATTAATGTATATTTAATTATTATGGAAATTGCGCATATTATATTTATATACACACATTTTGCATTGTACGAAAAATATCGCGGGGAGTAAGTCTACTTATTGGAGTGTAGTGTTTAGTCACAGACATGCACTCACTGGCCAGTAGTTGCTTTACTATCGGTTAGTTTTACTCCCTCGGATTTTATTAATTAGGCCGACATTCATTGTGTACACAGATGTACAGAATAAAGTGAAAGTTTCTTGCAATATTTATGTTTCTTTTTTTTTTCTTCTTCTGAAAACCCGCATAAAACCCCCGAACTAGTTAAAAAAAAAGGTTAATAATAATATGTAATCTTGATAACTTCCTTCCCAGTCAAATTTTGTAAAAAAAAAAAATAGGCCTGATGATAATGATATTTTTTTTTAATCGCTGCTACTACGAAAATCTTATTAAGTATGATTAGGTTAGTCTTATTTTTTTGTAAAATTTAATATACCGCCGTATTTTTCAAAATAGAAAAATTAGACACCAGATCATGGAAATTGAAAATCATAGGCGTGTTTATATTTTCCTTTTTTTTTTTTTAAAAAAAAATATTTCCAATCGGCATCAGATATTATCCTACTGGTAAATGATAGAAGTCATAGATTATTTTTAAAATCGATTTTATTTCTTTACATGATATAGATAGTTTAGTTATCTGTCAATCAAGCAGTCCTTTCATTTCAAATCGTCCAACTGAACAAATTATTTAGATCTATCCAAAATAAAGTTTTATGTGAACTACCGAGGAGCAATATTCAAAATTTTGCTGAACTGAAGAAGCTTTAAATCTATAAAACGAAAAACATTTTTAATATTATGGATAACAGAATTTTTAAGATACGCACCCCCTTCTAGGCCATAATAATATTCAATCGATTGGATAAAAATATATTTAGTGAATTGAGTTACATAGACAGTTCGTTTTATCTTTTTTATTATAAATCCCTCTAGGCCCTAACGATATGGTACGCATATATTTGAAAGTTGGCCTTTTTGTCCATATTATTATTATGGAGGTCATACCTCCTTATACTTATAGGTCGATTTATTTCCTTATAAATACCCCTTTCTAGACCGTATTAATACTGAATATTAAGGTGAACCACTCACCTGTGATTGATCCCGCATTGATTAATGAAATGGAATGGAATGCTGAAATTGCTTTCAATAGATTATAAACCCCTCTACCCCAACATGAATAGCAGGCGCGTTATGGTCTGTTATGGACTGACGATCACCTTGGACGCCATCTTGAATTTAACCCTTCCTTCCCATTATTCAGAGTGGCAACTCACAGGATTTCCTAACATGATCTAAGAGTCAAACTGAGGGGACACATTTGCACACATGCCCCCCCTCTCATTATATATTTCTGCATAAAATATAAAACTATAGGATTACAAAACTGACGTGACGATAAAGAAATACATGTAATAGTCTTTACTATCAATTCTATTGAAGCATTAACGAATCTATAGGTTATTTATGGTTTTTACAGGAAATTACACTTGGAAGAAACCCAACTACCGATCCAATACCAACCTATAGTAAATTATTTCAGATCTTTGGTCATGCTAAAATCTTTGTTCTGCAATATTCTATAGCCTTCTATAGAACCCAACAACATTCTATATGAAACTACATGTACACTTTTTCAATTATGACGTTTTTTTTATTCTTTTCTATTCTTAGTTTACAGAGTTTAATAAGGCAGCTATGATTGATGACTAAGGCCAAACTTGGGGGTACTAACATATGGTTAAATTTTAATTCAGTTTTCCAGCCTGGTAGTCCTGTACATCAACCTTGAAAATTATATATATCAAGCGGAGTCATATTCAATTATCCAGCCTGGTAGTCCTGTACATCAACCTTGAAAATGATATATATCAAGGGGAGTCATATTCAATTATCCAGCCTGGTAGTCCTGAACATGAACATTGAAAATGATATATATCAAGCGGAGTCATATTCAATTATCCAGCCTGGTAGTCCTGAACATCAACATTGAAAATGATAATTCAAGGAGTTATATCCTCAATCATATGAATGAAAGTTGTTCACAACACACTGGCGATACTTAATTGTCAGTTCGGAATGTCCTGAATTGACAGAATTGTAATCGAGTGACACAGAATTCGTTTCTGTCACAATTATGTCAGTCCCAACAACTGAGGTGGTGTGAGTAGAATCGTTACGTAATCAAACACTACGAATATGTTTCAGCTGTCATGGTTGGTTGGGATATCCCCCTTTGAGAAACCCCCTTTTCACTATATTGTCACAATTTTTTTGATTGAGAGAATGCAATTCCGGAACGTTCAGTTTAGGATCCTCGCTGACGCACTTAGATAATTTTACGACATTCACTTTATGAAACTCTTTATGATGAGCGTTCTCCTGTTCAATAAAGTTATCAACACTTCAGTCAAGAATAATTCAAGACGATTGAATACCATATAAGTTCATTCATTCCACCAAGAATATTCAAGATGTTTGAATATAGGTTTCGGTAAGTTCATTCATTCCACCAAGAAGGATTCAAGATGTTTGAATATAGGTTTCGGTAAGTTCATTCATTCCACCAAGAAGGATTCAAGATGTTTGAATATAGGTTTCGGTAAGTTCATTCATTCCACCAAGAAGGATTCAAGATGTTTGAATATAGGTTTCGGTAAGTTCATTCATTCCACCAAGAATGATTCAAAATGTTTGAATATAGGTTTCGGTATGTTCATTCATTCCCCCAAGAACGATTCAAGATGTTTGAATATAGATTTCGGTATGTTCATTCATTCCCCCAAGAACGATTCAAGATGTTTGAATATAGATTTCGGTAAGTTCATTCATTCCACCAAGAATGATTCAAGATGTTTGAACATTTCTGTATGTGTAAGTTCATTCATTCCACCAATAATGGGTCAAGATGTTTGAACATATATTTCTGTATCGTATAAGTTCATTAATTCTGATATTATAGTTTCTATTATATTTATATTAATATCATCACAGAATACCTGAAAATAGAAAGATGGTTTATAACAACTGGCTTGTTAACGCAATAGAGGCTACAGCTTTGGTCTGAAGACTTGGGGGTCTTAAGAGGACAGACTCTGTCAATTTTCACCACTCTGTGGCATTTCATTTCAGAGTTATAACCACTTTTCCGAAAACCTTGTTAACGCGATAGAGGTTAGAGTTCGTTCCCCCATCTTGTCCAAAAACCTTGTTAACGCGATAGAGGCTAAATTTTTCAAATTTGGTGTGAAGAATATAATTTCTGTTTTTTTACTGAGCATCATTTTGACCAGTCTTTATCAGAAAAGTTAAGGTTACTACAAAATACATACAACCTGAAATAACCTGGACTTTCAAATTTTCAATCGAACGGTACTAGATCCAAGATTGAGTTCATATCGCATCCGTATGCCAATTTCGTCCTGGACTGAGTACAATTGAACACCAGAACAGGATCAGACTGAGTACTGCTCCATTTTCTTACTGTACATGTACTGTATATAGTGTTTATGAGTTTCTAACTTTGTCAAAAAGGTTGATTCTGTTAGTTTTATTTAAAGTGGAAAGGAGGGGGGGGGGGGGGGTATAATCCAGTTAAATGGCATACAATTTACAATTGGAGAGAGACAGAGATAGAGAGAGAGATGAGGTTTTACGGCCACTCGACACAAACTAGGTCATTTCGAGACTAACATATGGTTCAATTTTATTTCAATAATTCGCTTCCGTGAAGGAGTCTTTAGCAATGGGAGGAAACCGGAGAAAACCCATGAGGTTAGACAAGTGACTCAACTCCTTGTCACATACAACCGGGGAATCGAAACTACCCCAGTTGACTCAATGACAGACCTTATGATGCAGCGCACACGTGCTAACCATTCGGCCATCCACCCCCCCTAAATATTAGGTGAAATGGGATTTTATGTCTAACTGTCCTGTTCAGGACAGATTATAATGAAGGAATGAATACAACATGATGTCTGCTATGAGGTACAATTTTGTCTGGACATCAATGTTTCTGCATACTCTGCTTTAAATTCCATCTACCCTTAGGACAGTGTAACACGCTAACCAATCGGCCATCCAACCCCCTTTTTATGATTGGATATACCAAATAGTCAATAGGAATTATATATACATGTATAAAAACACTACACACCTTCCACCATTTTGTGTCTGCTTCCTTGTTACAAGGAACTTCCGCCCCGTGACATAACAAAGCAAAGTATATAACAGCTACAGCCATGTGTTCTGGTTTCGTATTTAAACAAATAATGCCATGGTAACTGTCTCGTAATAAAGACCACGAGGTCTTGGCAATAGGTAAACGTTCCCACTCTAATGGATCAAACCAGTCTTCTAAAAATTTTAAATAATGGAGAAGGAACTGAAAAATAAATATAGATATTAGTACTTCAGAGAATCAGTCAATCTGTTGCCAAGAATCATAATTGTATTGATATTTGGTACTTTAGTTCCGAGCACATAAAATGATTTTGCTGGGAATTGACCCTGTGTCCCGCCCTTGTATGGGTGAAATTTTCTGTGCCATAGAGAGAGAGAGAGAAATGGGGTTTAATGTCCACTCTACACAAACTAGGTCATTTCAGGACTAACATATGGTTCAATTTTATTTCAATAATTCGCGTGTGCGTAGGGGTCTTTAGCAATGGGAGGAAAATGGAGGACCCGGAGAAAAACCCACGAGGTTGGACAGGCGACCCTACTCACTGTCACGTACAATCGGGGAATCAAAACCACGCCAGTTGATTCAATGACAGACCTTATGATACAGCGCGCACATGCTAACCATTCAGGTCAACGGGGTCTGCCATATAACTATCGATTCTAGTAGTTATGTTTTCAGTTCAGCCACCCTCACTGAATTTTAATTTGTAACTTTTTATTTCGTTCTTGCCATAAAGAACTGCATGAATTAAAACAGAAATCCCCTGACTGTCATTTTAACGGACTTTGAAATTCCTTGCAAACTACATTTGTACAATACTGTGAAAGCTGAAAATTTACCAACGTTTATTATTATCTGCAGATGATTCAAATAAGCCAGTACCACCCTTGCCCGTAACATTAAGGGTGCAGGTGGGAGGGGTGCTAAGCCGCCCCCCCCCCCCCTGTGAAAATATTGTCAATCATAAAAACAATAGATATATATTGTCCGTCAATTTTACAGCACCCCTGAGAACACTTCCCGCCCACCTTGTTGCTCTGAGCTAGTTAAGGCCCCGGTGCCACCCATGAGTGTCTGTAAAATCTTATGATGAGCCCTTGTTAAATTAGATTTTAAAATAAAAGCCAGAAGATTGTCTACCGTTGACATTGTTTGTTATTTCTTATAAAGAGGCATTATTTAAAAGCTAAATCTGCCTATTGCAAATCTTCGATGTTATATAAATTATTAATTAGACATTTAAAAACATGACAAGACCCTAATCAACTCTCGATGCCATCGGATGGTTCTGATTTTAAATAAATCAGAACAGTTTGGCCATAAGTTCAGAAGATCAGTAAGATCAATGCACACATCTTGTCAAAGCTACAACCAATGAAATTTTCAATATATTCATTTTGCATAATCTATTTTTCAAATATTATAGCAAGAACGGTCAGTTCTTTATCTAAATCTTACATAATGTATCTTTAAGTAAACGTTAATTTGAGTAGGCCTACCATACATTTTCTAGACAGACTTTAAAATGAGATAATTTATCATTAATATCAATATTTTAATTACTTAAAGATTATGTCGAGAAAACCACAAAATGATTTTACCTTGTGAGGATGAGAAACAACAACTTTAAATCTTAATGCCCTTAATATAAACAGTTCACAACTAGCCACTGTTTCTCTTAAGTTCCAAAACGTTTCTCCAATTTCTAATGGTGGCTTGCTTTTATGTAAAGTTCTGTACAAAAAAATATAAAAATATCCATAAATAAAAGTAAATTCATAAAATTATTTCTTAAATAATCTTCAATCTTTGAAAATTCCATCAATTTATCATTCTGTCGTAATTTTCTAAATGGACTACAAAATGTCTCTTGTCTGCATTTTTTCTTTCTTTATATTTTGAAGAAATGAAATGAGATTTAATGTCTTACTTTTCTCCACCAAGCTGGCAAATGAAAACAGATTTACAAAATTTTAATTACCAGTACCAACTTTCATGGAATCTCTAACATGTAACGGTATACACATGACTTACCTGTGTGACTACAGAATATACTACAGTAATATAACCTACATGTGTGACTACAGGTGTAATATAACCTACCTATGTGACTACAGGTGTAATATAACCTACCTGTGACAAATATTGACAACATCTCGTAATTTAACAACTTCTTCTTCGATTTTACTTCCTAAATACAAAGCCGTAGTTCCAATTAACTGAAAAATATCCATGACAATTGACTAAATTAAAAAAAAACTACATGTAACTGCTGGTAAGTATCTCAATATTCATGTAATTCAAGGTTATCTGAGCATCTGGAAGAAGTTTGATTGCATCTAGAACAACCCTGTGGTTCCAAGCCACCATCAAGTTGAGGTCATGAACAGCTAACTTCCCTCAACAAGATAGGTAAAGAGAAGAGAATACGAGCAACAACTAGATCCTGAATGATAACAATATCTTAGTAGCATTTATAAACTGGTACATACTGTATATATTTTGGATTAGACATTTACAAAAGGTCTTACTTAGCATCATTAAACAGATCCTAGGTAAAAGTTAATCAGCCAAAGGCACATCTATTATACCAATCTAATTAAAATACAGATCTATATTTCATTTTGTTTTTTTATACTTTCGATGGCCTCTACTACATGAAGATCTGACCAGTTGTAGTGGGAGGTCGGGTCAGAGGTCATACAAGCAGCTTTTGACCCTATGACATCAGACATTTGATTAACCAATCAGCGTTGATGTTTCTAGTGTGTTACCCACAGTTCCATGCAACTCATGCCAAAACCTCACCGTAACACACAGTTTCATTGGCTAATCCCTCATATCATCCAGAACGCGGGTTATCTAACAACTCTTCCAGATCCTAGGGTAGTAAAGACAAGTAAAACGAAATTTTGAACTATAAAAAACGAAACAGGATCTGTGTTTTTATCAGATTGGTATTATTAAAAAATTAATCAGCAAAAGGCACATATCTAATTATACATGGAATAAGAGTAATGTACAGTCTGCCAATAAGATATCTTGAACTGTTTATGAGATATATATATATATATATTGTTCTCTAATAAAATAGTATATATATACATGTACCAATATCCCTCGTTATCTTCGTTCATCATGGGATAATAAAAATAAAAATAGTACACAAACCAACTTTTTGATGTACCGTACTTACATATGGATCATAATCTGTTAAAGCATTCTCTCGGAAAAACTTATGATAAACAACTGCTGCTGTGGCTAATGGTACACTTTTCATGTGTAGTTTCAAGGCTGAAAATTAAAACTTAAATTAGATCTTGTCAGATAATGTCTCATATTTAAACTAAACAAAAATATGTGGTATTAATGAGTCATTGCTGGTTTTATCAATATTAGTAATAATAAGAAAAGTGAAAGCAGATTACAGTTCATGAACATTTGGTCTAAATTCAAATCCTGTGGTAATGCTACCCTGTATTTTTCCTTTAATGTTAAACCAGTATACTAACTATATAACTCTTTTTAGAAAGGTAACCACAGTGGCTAAGACGCTGGTTCTTTAGCCTGGAGGTCGCATGTTTGATACCTGCATTGGCCGAGAAAGGTCATCAGGATTTTCTGGCGTGGTTTCCCCTTGTCAATGGTGCAGAACGGAGGGCATGATGACAGTCGTCTAGACGTTCGGATGGGACGAAAAACCTTGGGTGGACCCATGTATACATTGGTTTGCATGTAAAAGATCTCTTGGCAGTTGGAATTCGATATAAGAGTAGGCCATAGTGCCGCTGCCCGGTAAGAGTAGACCCGAATATCGGATTTTAGCTGGCTTGGCTTACGATCTACAACTACAAGAAATTTGTGAGTTGAAGTTGATAATGGCTGTGGGTCGTTTCATTCCAAAACCGTTTAACCCTGGGCTGTTTGAGTGTTTAATCTCAACCTATTTTTGTGATCGTAGTGAATTTACGCTATGTTTACACATGACTAAAAACTGACACTCTTAAAAATATGCCCATTAATTATTGAAAAGTTGTTTGTTTGCTTGTGATACCCTCGACATATATAGTTACAAAGAATATGAAAATATCATTTGAATAGCGTTGAGATAAACTCGACAGTGGTTTCAAGCACCATTCTCACTGACATTCTGCTCATTCACCATACATTTCAATTCAAATCTGAACTCTTGATTGAAGAATAATAAATAGAATGGACATCCACTAGCTCCATCGCACCTGCATGTAACCTCACCTGCTTCGTGCATGAATCTCACAACTCGGAAATGCACCTTTGTTTCTGTATCAGTCATTTCAAGGCAAAAACGAATTCAACTGTTCAAAATGTGGTGAAAACAAATAGGAATATACCTAACGGTACGCCGAGGGATTTCCCAACTTCCGCATATCATTCGAGCTACTTCGTTTTTTGAAATCAACGGAAGATAACTCTCTTGGAGCTATTTTGGTTTCAGACCCCAGCTGATATATATATCGATACCGTAGTTCAGTCTCATCAGAAAATAATGTTTTAGAATTAATATGCAGAAGAAAAAAAAAGTTAATAATGGGAACTAATTAACTCGCTCCGATGTCATCCCTCTCAGTGATAGTAGCGACCAAGCGAATAGCGTAAAGGAACTAAGTCTTCAGATGTTACATGTATAGAAAACTTGCATTTATTGTTGTGTTCGAGTGGACCATACGCCTTATTTAGGTTGGTTGATTTAATTTCACTAGACAGAGCGATTGGAACGAAATGGCGTAAACTATTTTACTAAAGAACTTACTTTGCCAAGCATAGGCTATTTAGCTCCCATAGGCCTACGCTTAAAAAGTACCAGTACTTTACCAGCGTTTTAAAGGGACAATAAAACTATCATGCTGGCTTGGCAGCTCCAGAAAATAAAAATAGCCTTATTCTAAGTACTAGATGTGTTAGTGTCCTACCTGTTTTGTAAATTATCCATTAAATCCTATTTTACTTGTCCAAAGGGTTCAAAAATATTTTTAAATCCAAGTCACATTTGAAAATCTTTACGTCAGGCTTTTCAAATCATTTAGTTGAATTTTTCCAATTTTTTAAATTAGGTGTTTTAAGATGAAATTTGTATCATCAATTAATTGGAATATTGTAAAATACAGTAGTACAATTTGTTGACCAGAATAAAGATTTGGACATATTATTCAGTTACAACAAGAGTGGTATTGGGTCTTTAAAGGAGCTAAATCACTAATATTCGGGACCTAGAAATGGATACAAATGGGTCGCAACGCATCTAATAATGTAATATGAATGTATATAAACTAATTTACATTCAATCGATTATGTTTTTACTGTAATTTCTAATAAGTTATGTTCGGCGAAACACGCCAGAAGTCTCAATATAATTGCAATCTCTAGCGTCTGGTTATTCCAGTCTACACAAATGGCATTTATTACGCATGCTCTTCAGATAAGAATATGGCATCACCGTTTGACATGACTTGTGGAATATGTCTAGCCTCATTTTTCGAGCCCCATGTTACAAATGGCGCTGAATTCGTGTACCAATGTTAAAATATTTATTTTGTCTTAAATATTGAATATCAGAAGCCCACCTTTTCCTGGTAAGATCGCAACTTAATGTTGATTTAAATTGACAAATAACTCGTGTTTTGAATGTCGAAGATTTTAGATGGTATTGAGTTAGAGACTTAGCTACATTAAATTACATACCTTATATTCTGTTATAGGTTTAGAGTAGCTATATAAGTTTGTTTGGTCCATTTCCTGTCCCTCACAATGTGTCTCTGGCTTTAATTGACCACACTCTTCTTGTTTTTGGGCTAACATATTCATTATATATCACTATCTTGCCCATAGTTGTGTTAGATATTAAACGATTACTTTGTTCTAACTACAGCGGACAACAATTTGTCTTTAATAATGTTAATTCACGAGCATCCTCTATAATGTTTCTCTTACTATCTGAGTCTTCAAATAATTTGGGGAGCTGTGGTGGCTCTGTGAGTAAGACGTGGATTCGCTAACTGGGAGGTCCCGTGTTCGATCCCAGTGTTGGCCGAGAAAGTTCATCTTGATTTTCCAGCGTGGTCCCCCCATGTCAGAGGTGTAGGCAGGACAGAGGATCTGACAAGGGACAAATTATAGTTGTACGAATTAAACGAAAAACCAAGATCCAGGAAATATTGACCATAGCACCGCTGCCCGGGCACAATTTTCCGCATAGCACACTGTACGGCGCATGACCGCCTTCATTAGCCCAATCGGAGCAGAACCGTAGGACGTTAAACCCTAAGCAGGCAATAGTGTAACTGTACGTAAACTTGATCAGAAAAAGGTTTTAAAGTAACCGACTTTTTCCATGGCAGGAGTGCACCTATTGAATCATATAGAAGAATTTGAATAGATAAAGAAAAACGCTATAGAAGTTTTATTTCCAAGATCAGCTTTCGTATTAAATATCCTGCTAGGTATACTATTCAAAATAAGTAGGGGATATTTGATTTTTAAGTGTTATTAAAGTCACCTAATGAAACTGACGAAGAAACAAATGACAAAATGAAATGAAGTTCACATTCATCGATTTATTCCAAATGATCGTTAGACTAAGTAAGGCACAGACTGACCATTATAAGGGTAAAATGATACCCGGGGTCAAACAGCAAAGTTACCACAGCATCACAACCAAGTCAGTAACGGGTAAATCCTCCTCTGTTTGCCAAACAAGCATTGATCCGACGTGGTATACTCCTAATGAGACGTCTATGGTCATTTTGGTCCAGATTGTCCCATTCCTGTTGCAACGCAGCAGCAAGTTCTTGGACATTGGCAGGACGTTGTTGACGTTGACGTAACCTCTGTCCAAGCATGTCCCAGACATGCTCGATTGGGGAGAGGTCGGGACTCAGTGCTGGCCAAGGTAATGTGGTGATGTTCTGTTGTTGGAGGTAACCTGTAACGATCCTGGCCCTGTGACATCTTGCGTTGTCATCCTGGAAGATGAAACGGCGGCCATGACGTCGTGCGAACGACACAACATGGACTGCCAAGATGTTGTCCCGGTAGTACTGGCCTGTAACACGCCCTGCAACAACATGTAAAGCCGTTCTTCCAGCAACAGTGATGCCTCCCCACACCATAACAGAACCACCCCCAAATCGATCATGTCTGATGACGTTAACGTCTTGGAAGCGCTCGTTTCGACGACGCCACACCCTCCTACGTCTGTCCAAAAAATCAACAGTGAACCTTGACTCATCTGAAAACATCACATTGCTCCAGCGTCGATGAATGTGATGATCTCTCAAACAAGGGATCACGGGAGGACGTCGGGCGCGAAGGTGACCCCTATGCAGTCGATTCCGAATCGTCTGGCCACTCACTCTCACACCAGTGTCTGTTTGAAGACGAGCGCTGATCTGATTTGCTGTGATGACACGATTTCTCAAGGCCAAGGTACGGATAAATCGATCCTGGGCTTGAGTTGTCGCCCTTGGTCGACCTGAGCGTGGTCTGTCCTGTACAGATTGTGTATCACGGTATCTGGACCATAGCCTGCTTATGACAGACTGAGAAACATTCATCGTCCGCGCCACAACCGCCTGTGTTGTGCCGATCTGTAGCATGCCAAGGGCACGTAACCTTTCATTTTGGGTAAGCTGGCGCATATCAAAATTTGTTTTCTGGTCACTAAAACAATTAAACTGATGTTTCCACCCTGGAATTCAATGCCACAATGACTGTAACATTCAAAGTCAGAGTCGTGCAAATCTTGGGTTGGACCCCCATGATGATCCCAAGCATCACATGCATTCCATGCGGTAGCTATTGGTGCGTTTGGGCGTCACATGTAACTGGAAATGTTTCTTCTGTTAGGTTCTATAGTGACTTTTTTCGTAGTCATTTGCATATTTTAGTATTATGCCCCCAAAATCAAATATCCCCTACTTTTTTTGAATAGTATAGTTTTGTTATGAGCCCCCACCCCACCCCACCCCATTACCTTAGACTGTACACGATCTAGCATATCCATTGTTTAACTAAAGATATTAATCCGGTGGTTGGAGTAAAAAGGGCAAACTTTCGTGTTTTAAATATGTATGTGATTTCTCTCTAAAGCTCGTAAATGTTGTTAGAAATTATAAAGGATACTTGCCTTAAATTATCCAATTGGCGTCCAAATATATAAGGTATTTTTGCCTGCAAAATCTGACCAATGGACTAATTTGGGAGGCTGCAAGTCCCCCTCCCCCAATCATCCCCGCCTATCAGTCTTAAGTAGCAACATATGATTTGACAAAGGATTATTAAGTTAAGGAGGCACAGAAGGGCAAAGGGTAATAGCGAGCATTTTGTATCAAAACTTTACATCAAGCCGATAGTGCACGCATTGTGCTGAATTATAAATTGATTTGTGGAATTCCGTAATATAAGAATAATTACTATAGGGCTAGAGGCGAGGATTTAAAATGCTTTAAAGACATGTCCATGGTCTTCAACTGTAATTCTAAGTGGTATAACATATGAGAATTAGTCCCAAGAATCGATTTTCGAGAGAAATAGTGATCCAAACGCTTTCGAACCTTATTCATCATGGAAATGTTAAATCCATTAATAAGGATATAAATGAGAAATCTATCATGACAAAAACACTCTCTTTAAGCTCGAATGATATCATAGAATATCATATTCTGATTCTTTTTTGCGATAATAAAAACACACACACACACACAAAATATCTGTTTTCTATTAAACATTTCAATCTTTCATACTTAATACTTAGTAATTGGGTGAGAATATTGAATATTTTATGATCTCAACAATTCTCTTAAATCTTGTTATAGTTTCAAATATCCGTTTTCTGTGATGATAAATTGATGAATCCATTCAGATTTTAAAGAACAGGTGTATGGAGCAAATTGGCGGTATTATATCTCCTAGATCTTTTAAATAAAATGATTGTTTTGTTATGAATTGGTTATTCTCACGAGTCGGATTTAATGTGAAAATGATTAAAATCTAAACTAATAAACCCGTTATTTTGTTTCACTGACAAATGATGTTTTGGAATGAAATGAACTATAATTTTATGTAATTACACGCATCTATGGAAGAGCGTGTTCAATTTATGAATGATTTCTTTATAAAGTGATATAATGCTATAAGAAATAATAATAAACATAGATTTGTAATAGAGGAAAACAATTGCATTAGGCCACACAAATCTGATTTCGGGATGATGAGAAATGAATAGCCACTTGAATGACGTGAAAGATTGTTTGTTTAAAGGCTTTTAAACTGTGCAACCATGTCCTTTTTTGTTTAAATGTTCAAAACTTTCAAAATGGGAACTAAAAGCTTTTAAACTGTGTAACTAAGTACTTTTTT